AATTTTTTAGTTTTTTTTTGTTTTGTTTTTGTTTTTGTTTTTCTAAACAGGGTCTTACTATGTAGTTCTGGCTATCCTGGAACACAGTATGTAGCCCAGATTGGCCTCTAACTAACAGAGATCCTTCTGCCTCTGCCTATCAAGGGCTGTGATCAAAGGAATGTGCCATTATGCCTGGCACATTAACATAATCTTACTATGTCTTTGTGTGGATATTTCTGGACACTCTGTCCTGTCCACTGGCCAGTCTCTTTGTCTATAAGCTGATGGGACATTGCTAGGGGTGGCATTCCTTACTGAATATTCCCCATTGGTGATATATAAGTATTCATAATCATCTAACATTGTCTGAAAAAAGAAAGCTCACTGTAGTTTTGATTTAAATTGTTCAGCTTATATATCTCTATTAAGGGAGAAGTGACACCTAAAATAATTATCTCTAATATTTCAGAATGTCATATCCTTCCAATTATCACAACTTTCAACAGTGGCTTCTAGTTTATCATGCAGAGATTTGGATGATTTTTCTTTTAATTGGAGTAAAACTATTTTTTCTAATATGATATTTTTATTCATTTTTTGGGTATTTCACATAATAGACCCCAATCATAGTTACTTCCCAGTCATCTCAGATCTGCCCCCTTTGTGACCTCAGCCCCACCTCAAATAAAAGGAAAAAGAAAAAGAAAAAAAAAAAAAAGAAAAACTCAAAACCACAGTACAATTTATGTTGGTCATATATCCACTAGAGCATGGTCAAAGTACCAGGGGTCAGCCTCTTGAAGAAAATGGAGCCTTTCCCTACCCACACCTCCAGAAGCCATAAGTTGTGGGGAGAGCTACACTACAGCATCTTTATCACAATTTTTAAGAGTTTTCCTAGATGGCTTCCTGTCTAGGCAGTTACTTTTGGGGGGACAGAACACTTCTATGAGTCTCTTTCTCAACTGTGAGTCTGAAGTAATCAATACCTGCAAAAGTAGCTTCCATGTTTTTTACAGTCACCAGGAGCACAATTCATAGACTTCCATATAATTTGTAGCTACGGCTCAGATCACAGACAGCCACATGCCCTCCGAAACAGCATGTGTCATGGCTCTCCAGCGGCAGTACAGACACACAGCCTCCTGCTATAGGACTGGCCACCACCACCATCATAGCCCTGGGCAGCAGCCTGGCCCAAGGACATCAACATGACTCCAGGTGGCAGCACAGGCTACAGACCTCTGACTGGTCTTTAATGGTAATAGGGATCACAGACATCAACATGACCTAAAACTACAGGACCACAGATCCAACCTGGCCCTTGGTGGCATCAAGAACCATTGACATCATCATGGCTTCAGGTGGTAGCGCAGACCACAGATATCCACGTGGCCTTCATTGATTTCACTGGCTATAGACATGAACATGGTTCCCAGGTGCAGCAGGATCATGGGTCCCAACATGGCCCTCAGCAATAGCATAGGCCACAGATATCATCAGGGACTCTGGCAGCAATCCAGACCATGGGCACTAAGGTGGCATTTTGTGGTAGCACAAACTACAGATGTCCTCCTTGCCTCTGGCCATATCGTCAGCCACAAACATAGACATGGATACCACCAGCACCTCAGGCCACAGACATCCATGTGAAACTCAGTCTTCAACATGGCCTGGGGCAATATCATGGACCAGGGATAAAAACATGGTCCCCAGGGGTAGTATCAAATCTGTGGGAGTCTGTAGGAGACTAGCTCTGGCCTGCTCCCACCTTTTGAAGGGCTCTTGGGTGGAGGAGAGAGAGATGAAGAAATATTAGGTAGAAAGATAGTGATGAGGAGAAAGACAGACACAGGAAGGCTTCAGGAGGGCCCTGAGTCAATACCCATATAGCACAGAGCTTTATTCAAAAGGCTTTTTATAATATGCCAAGGGGAGAGGCAAAAGACCTCCCCCTTGCAAGATCAAAGCACACCACACAGCTAAATGTAGACTATTCCAAACAACTGGTAAACATGCCCCTAGCCAGACTATCTCATTATTCAGCCTTGCTGAGTAAAGCAAACTGAGATTCTCTGACCCTGAGTATAGTCTCACTAGGAAGCCTCTGTGAGCCACCACACAAATCCAGAAAATGAGCCATTCTTCATCTTGGTCATCCTGTCAATGCTCAGATCCAGGGCTATCATCATATCATCATGCTGCTGGGAAGAGTGTTTGGGGACTGAATCTGCACATACCCCAGGCTACTTCACACCACTCTGCCAAACCTACTGGAAGACTACGTGTTCCCTCATCCACTATAGCCTTCTCTCACACAAGTCAAGATCTCTGTCTCACAGCAGGCCAAGCAGCAAGAGCTGCAGCTGTAGTGGCTCCCTGCTGGGAGATGCCTGGCAGGCCTAGGACCACCCCTATTTGTTAATGATGTCTGGTTCTGCAGGGAGGGCTCCTCCATTCTCTCTAGAACCTCTTAGAAGGAGTAGCTATTGGGGTGGAAAGTCTCAAAGTGCTGAATCCAGGCCTGGATGGCGGCAAGTTTGTCAGTTCCAACCTTCCAGGGCATTCTACCACAAAGTCAGCCTGCATGGGCGTTCCTGGAGTAAGAATTATACTTAAACAATAGACAAAATGCTTTATAGCAGACTTCTAGAACTTATTAGTTGTGTGTAACTTAGTTATGGTACCCATTGACCAGAGTTTTTGTTTTCCATTTTCCCAACTCCTAATAAGTATTCTTGGCTTAAATGAGTTTGAAAATTAGAGAAAGCTCATCTGAGTAAATTAATACTGTGGTCATCCTTTGGTGACAGTTTTACTATATTTTTTCATAATGACCTCGAGATCATTCTACTTTGTTGTGTATGCCCGGGTCTCCTTATTAAATGATGGATAATATTTCATTGTATGTAAAAAGAAGTTTTCTTGTCTCTACCCTAATGAACATAAAGTTATTTCCATATCACAATTCCATAATGATCATGGAAATGTAGATATCTCTTTATGATATCTACTTAATTGTAGTGTCTTTGAATATATATCTAAAAATAGAAACATTGGATATTATAATTTATTTTAAAGATTTTTTTAGGGAATAAAATTGTTTTTCTTTAATAGAATCTGAGAATTGCTGAAGACTCTAAACTCAACTAGTACATAAGCACAAAGAGCATTTATTCTGCAGAAATAGCCAGCATGCAAGGGTTGATCATCTACAGAAAATAGCAATGATGACCAGGGACAAAGGCATTCGGCCCCTTTAACAAAGGACTTTGGGCATTCTGAGCATGAAGATATAATCTTTGTTCTAATTGGTCAGTCAAGTAGCAGTTACATGGGGTGCATGTTGAGTAGATCAGGCTAGTAAAAGTTCCACCCTTTGCAAGCTTTTTAGTCATATATGATCAGTAATAGCCATATTCTGTAACTTTGCACCGCCACCCCTCCCCACAGGCTTTATAAGGCCAGGTTTGAAACTGTTTAGCTGATTGGCTAAACTTGGCTAAGGTCATTTTTTACAATGGAGTTGTTCTGTGTCTAAGATGGAGTCACATTCTGGCCCATTCATTTCATAATGGTAGAACCACTTTAAATATCCATCAATAATACTCAAAGGTTCTATATGTCTTCTTTTAAAAGTACATGGCCTGCCGGGTGGTGATGGCATAGTCCTTTAATCCCAGCAATTGGGAGACAGAGGCAGGCAGATTTCTATCAGTTTGAGGCCAGCCTGGTCTACAGAGTGAGATCCACAAAAGGCACCAAAACTACACTGAGAAACCCTGTCTTGGAAAAAAAAAAAAAGTACATGGCCATACAAACACTTACAGCATAAATATGCCTGGTGTTTAAAGTTTGTTTGACATAATATTTAGTTATTTTGAATCTCTCTACATTAACTTACTGAGAGTTTGTATAAAATATTTGAAAATATGTCAGTTATTTTTGTTTTATTTGGTTTAGTTTGACTTAGACTATGTTTCTCTACATTTTGAAGGGGAAGTTGGTTGGTTTTGTTTATTTACTTGTATTTGATAAGGAGTTTTATAGTCTTTTTACATATTTTGCATTTTAATCCACTGGCAACTATAGAATTTTTAAGAAATAATGGAGCAGTTAAGAGTGCTTTCGGTTCATCCAGAGAATGAAAGTTCTGGTCCCAGACCCATGATGGGAAACTCACAACTGCCTATAACTCCAGCTCCAGAGCATCTGATGCCCTCTTTTGGTCTCTTCATAGCATTTCACGTATATTTACATACACATACACATACACACACACACACACACACACACACACACACACACACACACACACACACACACACATACAGATAGAGACAGACAGAGAGACAGAGACAGAGAGAGACAGAGACATACATACACAAAAATAAAAGAAATTATAATATAATTAGCTTTCAAATATTTTCTACTATGGATTCCTTCAAATTGCTCCTTTACTTTTCAAAACAGAACTTTTGTTAGTTTAATGTAGTCTTACTTTCTTAACATTTACGTTTTCAACTTACTTTCTGGTAATCAATATCAAATATAACATTCAAAAGCTTCCTTTTTTGTTCCTCCCCTAAGAGTTTTGTGGTCAGAATTTTATATGTAAATATTTACAAATTCTTTTATTTTATAAATTTGATTACATAAAGTCATTTTCATACATCTACATAATGTTGTATACATTTCTGACCATTTCTTAATATCCTCCCTTTCTCATCCCTTGCCTAGTTAGTTGACTTTTGTCCTCCATACAGTTTCACTTTTTTCGTGTCTCTGTGTATATATAATTTTATGTGTTTATATCAAAGACCCACAAATGAGAGAAAAGGCAGCATTTGTCCTTTCTAAGACTGACTTAATTCAGTTGCTCTTTAATCATTGTTTATTTGGTAATTGTGTATGGTGAAAAATAAGGCTTTAATTTTATTTTCCTTTATATGTGGATATCTAATTTTCCAAGCACAATTTGCTTAACAGAATTTTTCTTTTTCATTTAATCCTTTTAGGATGCTTGTTAGAATCCATTGTTTCTACTTTGTGTGGGTTCCATCCTGGGCACTCAATTCTGTTCAACTGACTTCTTTGATGTGCAGTCTTATTTTAAATTATTATGTTTTGATTACTGAAGTTTTATTAAATAAATTTCATAAGTATGACTTATATACCACTGTTTAACATGGATATTTGTGGATCCTTGTAAATCTTTAACTTAACTTATACATTATTGTAAAATAAAATAGGTATTGTAATTTTGATAGAAATTGCATTGAATTTGTAATTTTTATAGATAATATTAATAGCATAATTTAATTAAAGTCTCTAATCTATAAACACAAAATGCCTATCTATTTATGTCTTTTTTATTTATCTATATAACTTTTTCATTATTTCATAAACTGATATGTAGTTTCTGTTGTTTTTATTTTTATTCTTACTCTTTAGGGACCTGTGGGGCATTTACCCACCAACTCCACAGCTCCCCAGAGTTTTCTTGAGTGTGAGCAGCAGGAAATATTAGATAGAAGGATTTATTGCGGAGAATCTTGCAGAGATAAACAGATAGAAAATAAAGGATAGCCTCAAGAGGGACTGGAAACTTTTCCAATGGCCCCGACTGTCTCTGCCCCAGGGTTTTTATAGAGACAACAAGGGGTGGAGCAAAAGACCTCCTCCCCCAGCACAGTCAAGTGCAGACCATCTCAGACACCTGCACTCAGGCCTATGGTCCTAATCATCCTCTATATGGACATGCTGGGTAAAGCCATGAGGAACCCGAGAATGGGTTCCCACAGGTCCCCCTTTCTTAATATATAAAAAATAACTATTAATGGCTTACAGCAATCTCCATAGCTGTTACACCTCCCAATATGGGAGTAGAGGATGATAAAGATGGCATTTCTCTTTTGAATTAGGTCCAAGGTGACTACAGTAGTCTTAGCTGCCTCAAGTCCTTTCTAAACCAAAAACTCTTAAGGCAACTACAAACTTAAAGAATCCCTTAGCTTCATCATTACCATTAACAGGTTAACATAAACATTGCTATACATAGTCACAATTCTCTCAATCTTACAACTCAAAGCAAACTCTTAACAGAACCATTTGGATTGGCATATATGGTGCTATATATAGTTAACAATTTTCTCCGTCTTACAACTTTAACTCAATCATTTGAATTTTCTTGCTAACAGAACATAGGAAAAACTTTGATGTATTCACAAACTTAAATATTTCCTTAACTCCACAAAACTAGGGTGTATTAATATCAATAGGTTTCTGCAAACATAATTCAATCCCATAACTCCTCCTTTTCTTTATAATTTTTAAACAAAATCTCAAACCTAGTTAGAGGAACCCAAACTTTTCAATTTAAACAGTTCCATTTGTAACACAAAACCAGTTCCTTAAGTAATTCCATTTTTACATAAACAGTTCCACAAAACAATTCATGAACCACCAGTTAATAAAGCATATATGCATATACAAGACTGCATCTTGATTCTAGGTAGAAATAAATTTCTTCATTTAAACAGTTCCATTTTTAACCCAATTCCAGAAAACCATTCCTAGGTCATTACTATGAATAAACTCAAAATTGTTCCATTGCAGTGAAATCTCTATTATTTCATTTCTTAAGTATTAAAATTCAAATGATAAATTCTGGTACTAGCCTTCCAAACATGAGAAATCCATAACCAAAATCTTTTTGTAATTTTATCTCATTTTAAGTTCAAAAAGTTCAGACAAGAAATAAATTCTGGTATCAGGCTTTCACTTCCAAATATGAAGAGATGTTTTTCAACCAAAACTTTTTTGTAGTTAACAGTTTTTGTTCAAACAAGCATCTCTGAACTTTTATTCTCAAGCCAGAGACCTTTTTAGGTACAGCAGTATTCTAAACCGCACCGTTTTTGATGTTAGCTCAGGTTTTTCTGTGTTGTGTCAATTTTCCACAGATCTCAGCTGTGGATGCCTTGTGCTGGTTCTAGCGTCCGCCATTCTTAGCTTCTTAGCAGCTCCTGGAACTTTTGAAAACCGCTCAGACTGCCTGCTTTGCCATCTACTAGGACACTAACTTCTGTATCTCAGGATTTTTCACCATATACATTAAGAATAGACTCACACTTAACATTTACACTTTTTTACAAACTTACATAACATGTGCTTAAGCATAAACTCACTCAACATTTACACATTTTTACAAACTCACATAACATATTAACATCTACTTGTTTATACTTTAAGGAAACTATAGAACTACTTTAGCAAATATATTTCTTATTAATTCTTATATACTTATATTCACTCCATCTTATTTTTTATTAAACTTACATTTACAACTAGCATCTTATAAGCTTATTACTACATGTCTTAAGACTACCTTAGATACTTCTTGCAAGCTTATATTCTTAAAGGAATTCTATAGATCTATTTACAAACTTATATAAGGCTACCATTAGCATATATCTAACTTAGCAAACACCTAAAGATTTCTTAACACAGATCTAACAAGACAATATTTTTACAAACTCACATATCTTATTTTTGTCTTTCTACTTCTTACTCTTAATTATTATCACCATCTCTATTAGAAAGATTCTCTTAACTAGACAGGAAGTACGTACATCATTTCTAAAGTTTAGAGTTTATAGTTAGCTTTGTTATAAAGCACTGGGATTTAGTGAGTGTTGTCATTATAGAGTTGTGATACTTGTTGCTAGGGGGTTGTAACATTCTCAGGATGAAGCCACATCCCAAAGTTGCCGAGTTCTCTCAGCCTTTCTGGAACCAGCAGAGATGCACTGTCAGAGGTAGACGGTTTTTAACTAGAGGCTGTCCCTTCACCCAAATTCATAATAGCTCCCCTAAGTACTTCAATTCAGACAAATATTTCTATTACAGCAGTACTTTTGGTTTGCTCTACCAAAAAACTTCACTTCACGATGAGGGTGAAATTACCGTATTTAGCTGCTGTAAAGCTCTTTGCCAAATACTGCACAGCTATTAGGTGATATAAAGTATTTTTCTAAAGGAGCTAGTAAAGCCAAAAGCAGCACAGCTCTGAACTCTTATTTCCTCACTGTTTGCATTAAACCTGTGACAAAACCTCAGAAATATTAATCTAGCCACTTTTGTTTTGGTCCTTTTATAGGAAATTTCATTGGAGCTGACCCTTCCTTAGTTCCACGCTCTTTACCAGACGCTCCGGTAACCACCGAGCTTCATTCTCCTCTTGTGAAAAAACACAAACATGTCCTCGACCCCATATTAACACAGGATCGGGATCCTGAGCAGGGATCTTTCCATTTCACTTGAGAAAAAGTCACTTGGGTGCCACTGTGCCAAAATCTATCTGCGGCAGACTGTTCATAGATATCCATATTCAAAAAGTTCAGAACAAAAAGAGCATGATTTAATCCATTATGTGGTGATAGAGGGTAAATTTCTTCCTTTTTTATATTTATTTTTTGAAGTTGTATTTTAAGACTGCTATGAGCCCTTTTCACAATACCTTGTCCCTGGGGATTATAAGGAATACATGTTTTATGTACTGTTTCCCATTGGGTACAACATTGTTGAAATGCCTTACTACTATATCCAGAACCATTATCAGTTTTAATAATTTTTGGTAAATCCATATACGAAAAACACTTCAAGCAGTGCATAATGACATGTTTTGTAGCTTCCCCAGGTTGTGCACTAGCCATTAAAAATCCTGAATAAGTGTCAATGGTCACATGTACATATCTTAATTTGCCAAATTCTGCAACATGCGTAACATATTTGCCATAGATAATTGGGAAGAAGACCTTGAGAGTTTACCCCTAAGTGAGGGATAGCAAAACGTTTTGGACATATCCCACATCGTTTAACTATTTGACGAACTGCTTTTTTGGTAAGATTGAATTGCTTTCTTAAGCTTTTGCTATTTTAATGAAGAGCATGTGACCATTGAGCCATTCCAACTTTGGGATAATGCTACTATTTTTGTTAGTTTATCAGCTATTGCATTACCCTCAACTAAAGGACCAGGAAGATTGGAGTGAGCTCTAATATGGCCCACAGAGCATGGCAGCTTTCTTTTGTGAATAGCGTCTTGAATTTGTTGAAACATTTTGGCTTGATTGTTGTCAGTTCCAATATTTTCACCAAAACTGTTACTATTCAAAGGAGTCAAGAACATAGATGTTCTTTCATGAAATGTATCCTTCATTAGCTTACTTTGAGAAAAAGCATTTTCAGGATTTAGTATTTTCACTTCTTTAGCTTTAACTCCTGATGTTATCATTATTAGCAGCTGTAATATTTAGCATTGATTTCTTATAAGGAACTTTCAGGTGAAGCAACTATTTTTTTAAGACAGCTAGATTTTCTGAAGTTTGTTTCCCATCTATAACGCAGTCATTTCTTTTCTGAATGCCTCATGTCTCCTTAATTAGATTTGCAAAGGAATCACTCATTGCAGGCAATTTGTTCAAAATGCAAAGAACTTTTTTAATTTCAACATAAGTTTCTTCATATCTAAGACAATGTTCAGTATATAAACGGCACAGTGGCTTGTCTGCTCTTATAGGTAGCTTTTGTCATCCAACTACTGTAAAAATTTGCACAGCTATTAGGGTAAATAAGGCATTTTTGCAGCCCCAAACCACAAAGCGTCTAGTTCCATATCCTTTCAAGTTTTCATTGGAACTGACACTTAAACTCTTAGACGATTTTCCTCCTTATTCTTTTAAAAGCTGTACTTTACGTTTACCATGAATGTATTTTCAAGCTGACAAAAGTGTTTCAGGGCAATGTTGCCATTTTTAGCAGAGAAACTACCTTTCCCAGAATGCATTTCCCTTATATCAGTCCATAATAATATCAGTCCCTTATATCATTTCCCATATTTCTTTTCGGGTCTGAGAGTCAACTGGTTCTCTTTCACTAGACTTGCCTGGGTGGTTTGAACAAAGTCTCTTGCCTTTGCAACCGGAGATCTGAACAAGCATTTTACATTTTCAGCTATGGCACATTGGGA